CTGGGGAAAACATTTGCACACTTGGTTAACCATGTATGATTTAAATGGAAATGTATATTTCAGTTACATGACCTAGATCACAAGCATCATGATTAAAAGCATGAGTGAATCAACTTCAGAAAACAACTCAAATAGGAAGGACCTTGGCTGCAGTGACCTCCATCAGACTATTAATGCTGTAAGGATAACAGGCATGATATCAGTTCACTGATTGCTGTATGGAATGTACTGAATTCAAGGGAATTTTCTTTGAGGATAGTCAAATGCAGGCTGTTTTGCTGTAAAAGCTGTTGTTAGCCCCTCTAACATCACAAAATAATCAGCATGCTGGATGAAGTTGCTGAGGACCATGCCTCACCAGCAGCTCTTTCAATTGCTCTCCTTGTGCCTTAAAAACTGGAAGCTGGCAGTTTCCAGATATAGTGTCATTTCTAATAGCCATAATGTCTGTTGTAACTCAATATCACTGAGTGTGTTAGTGGTTTCAACATCTGAATATACTCCAGTCTTGTGTGTGTCCTTAGAAGAACAGTGCTGCACTGTATTGCCAGTGACCTTCCACACATCTGACCAGGTCATCGCCCCACTGGCTGCAAGTACCGTGGCCTGTCTCGGTCTGGCGCCTGACCGTCTGCCGTCAGCAGTGTCTGCCTGTCTGGGCTTGGGCCTGACCGTCCGCCGTCGGCAGTACGTCTGCCTGTCTGTGTCCGGGCCTGACCGTCCGCCGTCAGCAGTGTCTGCCTGCCTGGTCTCGGGCCCGACCGTCCGCCGTCAGCAGTGTCTGCCTGCCTGGGCTCGGGCCTGACCGTCCGCCGTCAGCAGTGTCTGCCTGCCTGGTCTCGGGCCTGACCGTCCGCCGTCAGCAGTGTCTGCCTGCCTGGGCTCGGGCCTGACCGTCCGCCGTCAGCAGTGTCTGCCTGCCTGGGCTCGGGCCTGACCGTCCGCCGTCAGCAGTGTCTGCCTGCCTGGTCTCGGGCCTGACCGTCCGCCGTCAGCAGTGTCTGCCTGCCTGGGCTCGGGCCTGACCGTCCGCCGTCAGCAGTGTCTGCCTGCCTGGGCTCGGGCCTGACCGTCCGCCGTCAGCAGTGTCTGCCTGCCTGGTCTCGGGCCTGACCGTCCGCCGTCGGCAGTACATCTGCCTGTCTGTGCCCGGGCCTGATCGTCCGCCGTCAGCAGTGTCTGCCTGTCTGGGCTCGGGGCCTGACTGTCCGCCTGTCTGTGCCCGGGCCTGACCGTCCGCCGTCGGCAGTACATCTGCCTGTCTGGGCCCGGGCCTGATCGTCCGCCGTCGTCAGTACGTCTGCCTGTCTGGGCTCGGGGCCTGACCGTCCGCCGTCGGCAATACGTCTGCCTGTCTGTGCCCGGGCCTGACCGTCTGCCGTCGGCGGGATGTCTGGCTGTCTGGGCCCGGGCCTGACCGTCCGCCGTCGGCGGGATGTCTGGCTGTTTGGGCCCGGGCCTGACCGTCCGCCGTCGGCAGGACGAGGCTCGCCAGCTGGTGCAGTTCTCTCGGGCCGAGATGCGCTCGGAGCACATCTGGTTGGAACGGCTCGCTCTGCCGGGCGCCCTGGAGGCGGCCGTGGCGGCGCTGGCCGCTCTGCCGGCCGAGCGGCTGGCGGCGGCTGTCGACGGGCCCGTGCTGGCCGCCGGTGTGCACGCGCTGGCGCCAGCCGTACGTGGGCGCTCGCTGCGGGCCCTGCTCCGGAGCCTGGCCACCGTCCCCTCGGAGCACGCGCTGCTCGTGTCAGTCGAGCTTTGGCAGGTCTACAGCGAGGGTGAGGACGGATCAGAGGTCTGCTGCTGGGCTGCTTGGTATGGTGATCATAAGTGTAGTTTGGCATCCCGCCTTCTTAGCTCCCATCCGCTTAACATGTGAAGAAAGAGACTCACGCCCAATGCTATGAAATATCAAATATGTAGACATATCCACCAGATGCAACGCTTGTCATATGTGTCGTGTGTTAAAATGTGGCATGAGTCATTCTTCCAGTCGTTTGTCGTATGCCATGTATTTGAAGCCTGGCTGCGCCCTTCTCCGCCAGGCTCCGCGACGGACTCGGAGCGGGCCCACTGCCTGTGCGGCTGTCGGCCGCTGCTGGAGCGCCTCGCGCTGCAGGCGCTGCGTGGAGGTCAGCTCGACTCGCTTGGTCGCCTCGCTGCCGCCAGCGAACCGCTCGCCGCGCGCCTCTTCCGCCTCGCGCGCGCCGTGTTCGAGACGGCCGGCGGCGGCGGCGCAGCGGCGGCGCTGGCGGCCCAGCTGGCGACCGGCGCGCTGCCGCAGCTGCCGCCGCCGCCGCTGCAGGCGCCGGCGGCTGCGCTCCTGCTGGGCGGACCGGCCGCCGCCCGCTGTCTGGAGCGACTGTGCCAGCGCCGGCCGCGCCGCGCCGCCGCCGACGTGCGCTGGCTGGCGGCGCTTTACCCTCGCCAGCTGCGCCAGCTCTGCCGGCCGCCGACGCTGCACGGCTGCCCGCGGCTGCGCGGCGTGCTGCGTGGTGACGGCCCGCCCTCGTGACGCGCCGGCCGGAAGAGAGGCTTCTTTGTCCTGGGGTAGAGCGAGTTGGGGCTGGGGTTCGTTTCCCAGGCTGATGTTAAGGGAAGACCGCGGTTTGTCGCGGAGCACTATGTCGTGAGTTGCCCCGGAGAATACTCTTTGTGGTGCCTGGGCCGATATGTTTTTAGTCGCGAATATTTCGCATCCATTCCGCCGTCCTGTTCGTTGCATAATGTGCCACACGATTGTGCCAGGAATGGCTGAAGTTGTGCGATGTCCGGTGTTGCTTGCGCGAAACATAACTATGCCACGCGGTGCCCTTGAGTGTGACTCATTTATAACGGTTTGAACTATGCAGAAACTAGGCTGTGATGCCCGTCCAAGAATACAATACAGTGCTGGTTTGGTGCGTGTTGGGATGTGTCGTACATCTCTGGTCTGAACCGAGTCCCAGCCTCGGACTCGCGGGATGCACAACTCACAGAACCCGACAGGGACTCGGATCGCCGACACACCGTCTGAAGCCTGCGCACTCGACAGAGACTTGGACCGCCGACACACCGTCTGAAGCCTGCGCACATCCAGAAATATTCAGCGCTACGGAGCCGAGGTGACAGTGTCCGCCCCTCGCGTCGGAGTTAGCGTGGAGTGAACTCGACACACCCGGACCGGGGTGGCAGTGTCCGCCCCTCGCGTCGGAGTAAGCAGGGCGTGAACTCTACACACCCGGGCTGGGGTGGCAGTGTCCGCCCCTCGCGTCGGAGTCAGCGGGGCGTGAACTCGAAACACCCGGGCCGAGGTGGCAGTGTCCGCCCCTCGCGTCGGAGTCAGCGGGGCGTGAACTCGACATACCCGGGCCGGGGTGGCAGTGTCCGCCCCTCGCGTCGGAGCCAACGGGGCGTGAACTCGACACACCCGAGCCGGGGTGAGTGCCGCCCCTCGCGTCGGAGTCAACGGGGCGTGAACTCGACACACCCGGGCCGAGGTGGCAGTGTCCGCCCCTCGCGTCGGAGTTAGCGGGGCGTGAACTCGACACACCTGGGCCGAGGTGGCAGTGTCCGCCCCTCGCGTCGGAGTCAGCGGGGCGTGAACTCGACACACCCGGGCCGAGGTGGCAGTGTCCGCCCCTCGCGTCGGAGTTAGCGGGGCGTGAACTCGACACACCTGGGCCGAGGTGGCAGGTGTCCGCCCCTCGCGTCGGAGTCAGCGGGGCGTGAACTCGACACACCCGGGCCGAGGTGGCAGTGTCCGCCCCTCGCGTCGGAGTCAACGGGGCGTGAACTCGACACACCCGAGCCGGGGTGAGTGCCGCCCCCGGGTCGGAGTCAGGGGAATGTCTGCCTGAACCCCGTGACACCGACACCCAGCCATGGCAGATCACTAGCTGCTGAACGCGGCGTCGGTTACGCCACCGACGAGCAGCAGCCGCCGTCAGGCTGCGCTCCGCGGCGCGCTCAACAGCGATTAGTCCTATCCCAGCCTGCACCAGAACGGCCGCCAGACGGCAACCTACGTCCACCTGTAAATTATCACTGTCGTTCGTAGCCCGGCTCCATGCCCTCAAACTGTTGTTTCCATGGACATGAATGGCATGGTATGGCAACTGACATGACTGGCGATAGCCTTGAACACCGACCGCCAGCTTTGTCAACTGAGCGGGCCGCGAATCCTCCAGGCTGCTTTTGATTCGTGTATAAAACGCACGTAAGACAGTATCTTCATAGCAGCTCGGTATCAAGTTCATGGGTCTATTTTTGCATCCGAACACATTGTATTGCAATATCCCCACGAATATTATCAATATCAAATAATAACATCAATAGCAAAATGCCAACAGCACAAACATGACGTGACGGTTGAAGCGTTTGCGCGTGGCACAAAGCACGTTGCATATTCCACGTCATGGCTCGCATTTTCAGCAAGGTCACGACGTTGCCAGTTTCACTGAGTACGGAAGATTTGCCGCAACGTAACAGGCGCATGGCGGAGCGGAGGTTATATCAAGAGACTGATCGAAGCAGAGTGTTGCGGGGCTGGGAATAACCATAACAACAACCCTAAGAAATTCATAAAATCAGCTGCAAATATCATGCATACGAGTGAACACCATCGAAGCTCGACACACTACGCGGCCGCACACTACCACGATCTGGCCAGGAAGCGCTCCCCCTTGCCACCACCAGACTCTAACGCCTACCTGACACTGGCGTCCCAGCCCACTGCCTCCCCGGGGGCGATTCTGCTCACCAACCCGGCCGCAGTCAGCGCTGGCCAATCAGAACTGCCCTCGGTAGCGGTCGTAACGGTCGTAACGGTCATCCGCCTCATACGGGTCGGCCTGCTCGTAGCGGTCGAAACCGCGGTCGCTGGCGGGCGTGAGCGGCGTGCGCAGTTCGTGCCACGCGCTGTCGCCGGCCAGCTCGCCCTCGGCGTCGCCGCCCGCCACGTCCAGCTGGTCCTGCGCGGCCGGCGCCGGCTTCTCGGCGTCGCCGGTCAGCAGCGCCACCTGGCCGAGCAGCCAGCGGGCGCCGTGGAGGGCGGCCGCGTGTACCGCCGCTTGCGCCACCAGCGCGCCGGCGCCGCGGTAAAGGCCCGTCACACCCTCGTCGCGAACCACCGTGCGGAAGCAGTCGAGCGCGCCCTCGTACCGCGTGCTCACGGGCAGCACGGCGCAGCCCGTATCCAGGTTGTCGATGATGGAGCGCGTGCCCTGCAGCTGCAGCCGGTACAGCACCGTCTCCAGCGGATAGAGCGCTAGATCTGCCACGTAGCGGCCGAGCGCGGCCGCCGCCAGCTGGCGATGGCACGTGTCCAGCGGGTGGCGCGCGCGCGGCACGGCGCCGCGCCGCTGCTCGGCGCGCTCGCGCCACACGCGCATCGCGATGAGCGCAAGCTCCGCACCAGCCGACGAGAGCACGTAGTGAAGCAGGCCGAACACGGCCGCGGGCAGCGCCAGCGTCCAGACGGGCAGCAGGCGGCCCGCCCCATGCGGCGTGAGACCGGCCACGGCGCGGCACGCGCCCTCCGTCAGCACGTCCAGTACGCCCGGCCGCTCGCTGGCCACCTCTGACTGCACCGACTCGGCCAGGCTGGCGGCGGCGAACGGAGAGGCAGCGCACAGCGCGGCTGTCTTCAGCAGCAGGTGGCGGCCGGCCTGGCGCGGCGAGCTGCCGCGCGCCAGCTCACGCGGCCACGGCACCACCTTACTCACCAGGTCCTCGGCGGCCAGCCGCAGGCCCTTGACAATCACGGCGCTGCCCAGGCCCTTCCAGAGCACGCTCAGGCCCTGGCGCCGGTGCAGGTTGTACAACACTGGCGCCAGCGTCACCGGCGACAGGTGGTAGCGGCGCGCCGCCGCGTTCACCTGGCACTGGCGGCGCAGCACCATGAACGGGTGCGTCAGCACGTGCTCGGTGAGCAGGCCCGCCGCGTTGGCCGCCACCACCAGGTACTGGCTGGTGGCAGCGTCCGCGGCACGCTCCGGCAGCGGCAGCGAGACCGGCCGCGGCGGCGGCGTCCGACGCTTGGGCGCGTGCCGGCGCTCCCAGAAGGGCGAGTCCTCGCCGCGCGCCGCCATGTAGAAGTTGTAGTCATCCAAACCAGCCATGGCCCCAGAGGCCAGGGTGGACTGGCATGAAACTCTCCCGACAGGGGCTGCAGAATGACAGACAAATTATGTCAGTGTGTCCTGCCAGCTTATGGGACAAACACATGGCGGTGAACACGCACAGAAGTGGTGGCATATTGGTAATATATTAAACCCATCATTTTAGTGGGTACACAAGTACATGGTTTTATGAAGATATGTATGTGGATCCCTACAAGCCCTATTCTTTAGAAATTAACTATGAAATTGATAGTGTGATCCCAAGACACTTCAAAAAGTTCCAGGGCCCATCCCATTGGCTCAGTTGGATAGAATGCCTGCCTTCCGATCCACCCGCCCCTGGCAGGGTGGGTTCCAGTCACTTTAGGGTGCTCCCCATTTGTCCTTGACAGGTATGGCCTGTGGCAGCACGTCAGTTGACATCATAGGGCAGGACGGACTGTGCCAAGCATTGCACAGCATGTTAAGCTTTCACAACTAAATTCTGCCCTTGCCTGGAATTATGTGATTGGATGGTGGGGGTCTGGCCTCACACAACAAGCACTGCTTGGTGTGAGTGCTAATCCCAGAAACCCAGCCACTCAAGGGGTTTGGATCAAATGTAAAGTGTAAAAGTTTGTATCCTTGTGTATCCATTGTAGAATCCACAAACATCATGGATGCAACATTTCTCAATAAAAGCTGAGTCATGAAAGCTTTGGCACCCAGGATCAGCAAATTTGACATTGATCTCCTCTGGGATCCAGGGGCATCTGGCTACATTCATATCTAGAACATGTGTGCCAGCAGATGGTTGGCATGACAAAAAAAGACAAGAAATGGTGGGAATAAGCTTTGATGATGGGTAAGAACCATTCATGAATCTGTGGTGCTTGATGACAATGATAGCCTGGTCAACTCAAGCAATCTTAATCAAAAACAAAACCATCTAAAGACATCATCCCTCAGCTATTATCACTTTGTGTGTAGGACTTTACGCTAAATGTACAGCTGATAAGATAACTTTATGAACAAGTGCTGTTTATATGAGCATTATATGCACATTATTACATGAACACACAATACCTGCATGTCAGTGCATGCCCACAATATCTGCATTGCCTGTAATCCCCATAATGCGCCATGCGCCCACAATATACACCAACCAACAGCCTTGCACTTACCCTGCAAATTGTTACAGGCATTTGGAGCTAGCTATTCTGAGCTGGGGATCAAACCACAAACTGATGAAATGTCCTACAAATTAAAGCAGCTATAGACCAGTCTGCCCAAAATATTCACTGCACCTATTCACCACTTGTGAGCTGAACTTCTTTGCTTGTGTACCAAACCCAGGCTGGCCCATATTTGTACTGAATTCTGAACTCATTCTCAGATGACAAATGTTTTCTGGGCATCATTGCCTTGGATGATTGCCTCTGTGTGCTGCAATAAGTGGCAACCATTTGATATGCTTAACTTGGGAGCAGTCAGATTTACTGCTTATATGCACTGAAACTACTGCAGTGGGCTTGCCACTATGCCAGCCAATCCCAGATATGGTTGAGGCAGCATGTCCTCTTTGCAGTCTGGTCTGCATACAGGCATTGGTGCATGTGACAGCAAACTGATTATGATGATGATTGTTTGGCCTTAAGAGTGTTCCAACTACCCCAGTCATATGGCACCAATTACACCAAGCTGAACCAAGTTATGTGAGCCAGTGGCACAACCAGTCTCGGTGCTGAACTTGTAAGAAATATGCTTGCAGCCATAATAGGTTTTAATTTTTGCAATTTAATTATGGGGAAGGGTCCAGGTGGTAAGTCTCCATTCTTCATTAGATATTCCCATACTATTTAACTTTAGGAACTTAAGACTCTCAGCAGGAATCGGCGGCCTTGCACCATCTGATCACAGAAAACTCCATTTATGCTTACATAAGCCTCTTATAGGCAGTCATCATCATTCCCCCCCCCCCATATGAAAAATCAACCTCACCTCAGGTCCTGATTAGCAAATGACGCGTCAATCAGTGAGGAGCACTACCCTTGTACTACTTACACACTTGTCGCGCAGGCCGAGGATTGTTGTTACAGGGCCTTGCCGAGGATCCAGAGCTTACGGCAAAACACGGGTGGGGCTAGAGACTTAATTTCCTCAGATCTCAAGAGCCTTTTAATGGTTTTGTGAAAATATCTAAGATGGTGATATCTTTGGGAAGTTCGAACGCCGCTGACGGCGCGTTGGATATGTAGGGTGGCAAATACTGTTTTAAACTTTATTTTCCCTTCTTCCTTTACCTGTTGCTTCCGATCACACACAAACCGTCAACACCCTGCGTACAAAGTGGTGCTTGGAAGTGTGACTTCTGCTCTGGTATTAACGTTATCTGTCCCATCCGTATATTGAGTGCTTGTTCCCATTTCCAATTAATTTCACTTCCTTCCCGTTCATTTTCAAAGGCGTCCGGGTGGGTTGTTGGATACCCTCCGCTCGGGTGGGAGGTCGACTTGACCTCCTGAGATCTCAGGAACTAAGAGGACTAGAGGCAATAAATTCACAGGGTGTGTTGACCCGCACGTGAACTCACTTAGGTCATGTCACTTAGGTCACTTAGTTTGACGCCCTAGGTCATGAGCTACGGCTCAAATAAAGTCAAGTAGGGTCAAACTCCAAGCCGGTCTTCAAAGTATCCCCCGAACCTAGATACGTGTCCTAAACAAAAGGTCGCACGCTCTTTTAAGGTCAGTGACCTTATTTGACTTTGCCGAGGTCATGGTGACTAAAATCATGGAAGACTGCTTTGAGCTTTGCATTTGAATACGAGGCAAAGATGAAACTAGGCAGTATGCTCCTATCAATGAGATATTGGTCTACGTCATTTTAGGTCCGTAGCCATTTCTGACGTAAAAGAAGTCCATGGAAGTTCTCTAATGCGGTTCACGTTACCAAAAAATTCCAATTGAGCACCAGAAACAACCTCAAATGGCAAGCCCTGGAAAAATAAAACAGGTTGGTTTTGACCTTGGTCTGACCATCATGTCTGACCCTAAGTCAATGGAATTTGGTCATTTAATTGTCATGTTACCGAAGAAAGTGTCTTAGAGATATATGGCTTCGTCTAACGCTCCGTTGTTTCATCAGATTGAACGATTCCCTTGAAATTAACTTCGCTGAGTCCATGACCTGACTTTGACCTGCCATAGGGCAGTGATCTTACAACCCGGCCAGCATGTCCAACCGGAACCCACAAGGGTCCGAGATGGGCAGTCATATGGGGCCTTTAAGGACTGCCCACTTTGGTCCCATGTGGGCATGTCATGGGCAACCAAATGGGTCCCGCATGGGTAGCCCACCTGGGGCCCGTATGGGACCAAAAGGGAACCCACATGGGGCCACCTGGACTACCCAGTTAAGATCGATTTTGATCCCACATTGGGCATGTCATGGGCAACCAACCGGGTCCCAAATGGGTAGCCCACCTAGGGCACATATGGAGCCGAACTAGAACCCACATTGAGCCCGCCTAGGTTGCCCAGTTGGGACCCACGTAAGCATGGCCAACTGGATCCCACATGGGCAGCCTACCTGGGACCCATGTGGGGCATAACTGCGACCCACATGGGGCCCACCTGGGCTACCCGGTTGGGACCGACGTGGACATGTTCAGCTGGAGCCCACATGGGTGTGTCCAGCTGGGACCCAGGTAACCAGCCCAGATGGGACCCATACGACTAGCTTGGATGGGGCCTCTTGAACCACCCTGGATGGGCCCCAGTTGGGCTTCACCGATCTGCCCTTTTAAATTCCATCTGATTGATGGACCGCTGTAATTCCAGGCAGACTGCTTTCATGCCATCAAAAACAAGCCAGGTCAAGGTCTGTTCACCATGTACTTGAACGAAATTGCCTCCGCAACAGCACCATTGCAAAAAACATACACTTTTCTGTGATCATGCCAGATGCGATAATCACCAAACCATTCAACAAATGCTATGCGTTGTAACCGTTGAATGGTTTAGTGATTATCTGTTGTTGCCATTGTCAGTGCGGTGTTTCCTGCTGTCGTCGCAGTTTTTTCCGCTGAAAGCATTTTCCTGGTACCTTTTCCGTTTTGTTGCCGGAGACATCGTAACGCGTTATGCTGCGCAGGATGGCCCCTGAAAATGGCGAAGTTCAGTACCTCAGACCACTGCCCCGAGGTCTGAGTGCAAAGGATCGTTCATGTACAAAATTTTGGTACTGAAAAACTGATTTTACGTTGAGTTATTATTTTATCAAGCCATGATACTGTTATTTAAGTCGTTTACCACAATTGATCCTAATGAGAGCAGCTATGTCCAATAGCAGTGCAGAAATGCACCCACATGCACTCTCTCGGAGCATCTGTACCGGAAAACTTTAAGTCAGGCCACTTACATGGAATACTTGCATGAAAGCGGATTTGAGTTGTCTTCCTGCGATCACAATAACGACATAAAACTGTTATTGGTGCCATTTATAACAGTAATCAAGCGTAACGTTTATATTTCATGAAGAAGAAATGGAGTGCTGCATTTAATTTTGCCAGGGCGATGCTAACGAGCGTATCGCTGTCATTTTCGGCAAGACTGTAGCGTAGTAGCTGCCAGCCGTCTACGGAAATACGATGTTATTTAAGGGGTGAATTTGGGTCGCTTTAAGCACTCGCTTGGCATTAAGCACTTTGTCCCTGCAATGGATGGCCTGCGGCTAAGGGCGACAAAAGCACTTGTCAATGATGAATAGGTGCGCTTGTTAAAAATGTCTGAAATAAAGAATAAAACAACAAACTTCTAGCAAACAGTAGCAGCCCAGTTTCAAAAAGAGTGGTAGCATTCTTTTCTTATGACACAATTCCAAAACTTGGCTTGCTAATGTTTGTCTCTGAAAGTGCTCGGAGAGATGCAGCAGATAGAATGGGGTTGTCTTCGCCACGTTCATCTTGTGGAATTACCAAAAACCGTGACAAGAATTGGCAGAACTGTATGTACAATACGAGCTAAGCATTACGAACCCTCATGGTACAATACATGCTTTCCCAAACATGATGATTCCGCACCAGCACCAGTTGTCTTTGTCGGAAGCCTCTGATTGCTGTGTCAGCTTGCTGGCAGACATGCTTCCGGGCGACCAGCAGCAGTCCTCAAGCAGTCCTCCAGAGCAGAGCAGCCACAGTTCTTAGCAGGAGTTCAGCAGTTCAACAGCAGAGCATTTCTTTAGCTAATCAAGGGTTGGAGTTAATGCCCATCTCTCCCCCATCAAAATCCGGAACAGTAAACCTCAGCTGCCAGGAAAAACACGTAAAAAAGGGACGTAAACTGAAAAACACCAATAGCACATCGCTCACATATTGCAAGCCTAGTTTTCTAGGGCTGTGCGCAGTAACCTAGGCTCCCGTACACAAACTGCATGCGTGAGAATATAAAAACTCAATGGCCGGAATACGAGGATTTTTTGGTGGGTAGAATCCGCAACTCTAGGCTGCTCACAAAGTAAGAGGCCTTCTCCAGTCTTCTAGGATTTTCGCAGCGTGCATGTGTGGAGGTTTAGTTACCGTGAAGTCTACTGCTTCCGATCACTCCGATATGGTGTCTTAGCTCTGGCCGGTGCTTGTAACCGAATCGCACAGAGCGTTTAATAATTATGTGTACGTACATGCATATATATATATATATATATATATATATATATATATATATATATATATATATATGCCTTTATGACGACAGACACAAGAAGTTAGCAGAATTTGCACGGTGCATGGCTGCTGGCTGACTCTTCTATATATCTGTCTCTTCATTTCACTTCAGCACCTTAAACATTTTAAATCAGAACATAAAACACGAGCATGCAAACCAACAATAATGTTTTCACTGGACAGCACTCACTGTCGTTTTGGCTTGGCAACAACAAATTTGACTCATTTCTTGGCTTAGAAGTCGTTTGTGAATATGAATGATTAATCCATCCAGAATGTTGAGATGTATTGTTTTGTGTGCAGATGATCGCATTGCAGTGTTTTGAGTAAGCGCGTGGCGCGCGAGAGGAGTATTGTGTTCAGGCTGCACGTGATTCATTGGTGGCCCCATAAAATGCTGTGGTCGCCGCTTGTAGGCCACATCGCTCCTGTGATACATGGCGCACAACATAGAAGGCGCTGTTCGTGGCGCGAGATGGTGGCGAGAGATGGCGCTCGTGATGGCGTTCCTGGTGCCGCGGGGCGTTTGAAGGTGAGCGGATCTTGTGGCGCCGCTCAAAGTGTGACCAGACCACAACGCGCCAGGGACGCGTCCGTAAGGAGTGAGTAACTGTATTGACTTACAATGTTACGTTATCATCGTTTCAGGTCATTATATGTATTAGTCATCATTCCAGGTCGTGTATATTTTCGGGTTATTATTATTGTTTCACTTTCATTTAAGGTTTTACGTACAAAAAAGTAGCAACACCAAAATGGCGGCTTCGAAGCGGTTAGAACAAGCCGCAGTCATGTAATGGCTGTTACGGTTGTAGTTGCACCATTTTGGCATACGGGACCTTGCAGCAACACCTGGCAGTGGTGAACAGACGGGTGGAAGTGACGACGTGTCGAATTGGTACTTTCCAACGCTTTGTAAAGTCGATGGGCATGCGTGTAAAAGTGCCGTGCCGTGCCGGATATTTCACTAGTGCAGTTTTTAGACTGGTAGTCGGGACGGATTACGGGAAGGCGCAATGGAAACGCGCAATGGCGTAACTGTCTCTTGCTTGAAATGCTGCATCGCTGAACCCGTTCAGAGAATCAACAGGTCAGCAAACTAAATTGCATTTGTGAAACGTTCTGGTCAGCAGCTGAAGGGCATTACGTCCCATCTGAGCTTCTCAGCGGCTTTTAGCCTAGTGATAGCCTCCAGGACCGTACGGAGACCCTCAGAAGGATGCATCACAACCTGCCCCTTCTCGATGCGGCTGGCCCTCTAACTGAGACATCTAGCAACGGATCGGCGCAAGGGCCCTCGCTGATGCAGATAGACTCTTTACTGGCACAGGAAGTCCAATAATTGGTATCGAGATGCTGATTCACCTTATCAGTCTCTGGTTGAAATAGTGCAGAGGATCCCTTGTC